TCCAGCTAAAAAGATCTTGTAAGGAAGTGTATAACTTAAAAGGCACTTGCTAAAAATAAGAAAGACTAAAAATAACAGTTAATCATTGGACTTACAAAGTTAAAAAAGAACAACAAAAACAAATTGGAAGAAAATATAAGAAAGAAAATAAAGGCAAGGAATTAATGAAATAAAGAGCAATGAGATATATTTCAATCAACAAAAAGTTGCTGTTTGAAAAAACAAACTAAAACCGGCAAGGTTGACTGAGGCAATAAGAAAAAAGCACAAATAAGATTAGAGAGAGGGAAAGGAGAAATAACTCTAGTTGTGTGGAGATTAAATAAACTGTAATGTATAACTTGATGCCAGTTAGACTTTTAAAATTAAATAAAACTGATAATTTCCTAGAAAGTTTTAATTACCAATACCAGCTGGAGAAGAAAACAAATATAGTAACTATTGAAAATAGTGACTATTTAGAAGATACCATGTGAACATGACTTTATAGATAAGTTATAGCAAACAGTCAAGCAGCAGATGACTCTATTTTATATAAATTATTACAATAATAGCATAATTGCACAGTGGGAGATATGGCCCTCTTTGATCTATTCATATATGGAGAGTATATTAAATTATAGGCCAGTAATATTTATAAGCATAGATACAAAAATCCTAAGCAAACAAGAAAAAATAAAAAATTTGTATGAATAAAAATGCATCATTACCAATAAGACTTACCTTGGAGCTAAAAGAGTAGCTTAATATCAGAATTTTTTTTCAAATATATTTCAGAACATCTTTTTCAAATATTACTCAATAGATTATTCAAGAAATAGTCTCATTTTCTCATAAGCAGAAAAAGTATTTAGTTAAATATAAAACCTAGGAATAAAGTTAGAATGGAATGGCTTTTATTTTATAAAGGCTATATATCAAACTTCAATATCAGGAACTAGTGTTGTGGTGTAGCACATAAAACCTCTACCTGTGGCACTATCATCCCATATGATACTAGTTGAAGTCAGCTACTCCATTTCCGATCCAGCTCCCTGCCAATGCACCTGGGAAAATCAGCAGAAGATGGTCCATGTTCTTGGGACCCTGTTCCTCATATTGAAAACCTAGGAGAAGCTCACAGCTTTGGCATGGCTTGCTCTGGGTGTTGCAATGCCTAGGGAGCAAACCAGTGTGTTGAAAACCTCTCTTTATCTCTCTCTCTGACTTTCAAATAAATAAATAAATGGATGAATAAATAAATAAATAAATAAATAAATAAATACTTTATAAGAATGTACATTGAAGAGCATACGATAAACTTTTCTTTTTTTTTATTGCATTTCATTTTATGACTTTGTTTCATAGGCTCTGAGGTTTCCCCAATCCCTCCCTGTACTCTCTCCCCATGGTGGATTACTCCACCTTATTGCAGTATTACAGTTCAAATCCAGTCATGCTTCTTTCATTGCAAGCATGTACCATGATAGAGTCCAGCATCTTATTGTCCAGGTCAATTCAACAGTTTCTTGGGGAGACCATCTCTGGTCTAAAAGCAGAGCTGGCAGAATATCGTCCTGAACAATTAAAAGCCATAACATAACATCAACAACAGTTTACATTATGGAGTTAATTGACATGATATTGAGTGACTGATATGTTAGAAAATGCAAGTTCTTAACCACATCTTGTGACTACTTCTTTGACATTTCAATTTTAGTTTATATACAACCGGCTTCTATCCACCTTAAAATGGCTATTGGATACTATTCAGCTGTCTCGTGTCTATTTTCATTTTTGTATTTAGCTGTTTATTGTATTGAAGCATAATTTTTACTGAACTTGGCAGATTTTAGGATAGTCCAAACTGGCTTATAACTTTAACAAGGCATATGTCAACAGTTGAGGCACAGAACAGTTTTAGCAGGGGTGTGCAGAGAAATCTTCAATACCCCAGTGAGGAGTAACTTATTTTCGTGTCCTACCTAGTAAGGTATATGTGAGTCCCCGCTGACTGTTTCTTGTCTGGCTCTAAGCTTTCCTTGTTGTTCTCTGTCTATCTATTCTATTTTTTGTTGTTGTTTTCAAAATAGTTCCATCAGATTGAGGAAAACATTGTGCTGGAAGCTGTAGCTAATGTGCAACGGCGAGGAACAAAAATGAGGTTTAAGGCCTAAAGGTGAAGAGACAAAACCCTCCTTCTTTGCTAAGGAACTGTTGATGGTTTTTGTTTAAAAAGCCAAGATAATCTAATGGCTGGAATTAGAACACAAGTCAAGGAAGGCTGCTGGATACAAAATCAAATACAAGGCCTGGTGCGGTAGCCTAGCAGTTAGAGTCCTCACCTTCTATACGCTGGGATCCCAAATGGGTGCTGGTTCTAATCCCAATGGCTCTGCTTCCCATCCAGTTCCCTGCTTTAGCCTGGGAGGGCAGTGGAGGATGGCTCGAGACCTTGGGGCTCTGTGCCCATGTGGGAGACCCAGAAGAGGCTCTGGGCTCCTGGCTTTGCATCAGCTCAACGCCAGCTGTTGCAGCTGCTTGGTGAATGGAAGATCAGATGAAAGATCTTCCTCTCTATCTCTCTTCCTCTCTGTATATCTGACTTTCCAGTGGAAATGAAAAAAAATCTTAAAAAAAAAAAGACTTTTACCATTCATGATCCTTTAGAAAGTTCAAGTAAAGAGCATTTTACCAGAGAAATATAATTTATAAAGTGTCTAGGAGTAATTTTTATAAGATATGGGAAATATTTTTAGAGTGACAATCATGAAAAAGCTTTAAAGAGAATTGTCATACATAGAAACATAGGCTCGTGTTTGGAAATATTCAATATTATAAAGCTAACATTTTATTAAAATAATCTACAAAGTGCAATTGCAATCAAAATCCCAACAGATATTTCTGGGGGACTTACTGCACTTAATCTAAAATTCGCACAAAGAACAAAGAAATGATAGCAAAGATAATTTTAAGAAACAACAACATTGTGGAACTTGCCATTTCAGATGTCAGAACACATTAAGAGATTGTAATTGTCTCTGTCCTTCTAATAAATATATGAATTAAAAAAATAATAAAAGCAGGCTGGTGTTGTGGCATGGTGGGTTAAGTTGCTCTGTTTTATGCTGGTGTACCATATTGGCATGCTAGTCAAGTCCTGGCTACTATGCTTCCATTCTACCTCTCTCTTAATAATTGGGTAAATGCAACAGAAGGTGGTCCAAGTGCTTGGGTACCTGCCACTCATGTGGGAGACTAGGATGAAGCTCCTGGCCTTGGCAGGTCTAACCTTGCTTGATGCAGCCATTTGGGGATGGAACCTGTGGATGGAAGATCTCCTCCTCGCTTTTAAATAAATAAATACACATTTTAAAAGGGAATAAACAAGCAAAACTCTTAAAAGAGGTTTGTGGTTTGTTTATTTAAAGTAATAGAGACAGAGATATTTTTTTTACTGGTTCAGTTCTGCAATGGCCAGGGTTGGGTTAGGCAGAAGCCTGAAGCAGGGAGCTTCATCCAGGTTTCCCACATAAGTGGCAGGGGCCCAAATGCTTGGATCATCTTCTGCTGGTTTTCCTTTGCCATTACCTGAGATCTGGATTAGAAGCAGAACATCCAGGACACAAAACAATGTTCATATACAATGTTAGCATTGCAGACAGCAGTTTTACTCACTATGTCACAACTCTAGCCTCCAAATACAAACCTTTAGAAAAACGAATAAACCATTGTGATACTCATGAAACACATCAGAGAGACACATACAGAACCCATACATAAATAGACTTGGAAGATGATGAGTAGCACTACAAATTATGGCCCCTTCATGAGCTCCTCAAAGTACAGATGACATAGGGACCTGATAAATGCTTGCTGCATGAGTAAGTGAATTGATAAAGCACTCCTCCTACCAAGTGAAAAGAAAATACAGGTAAGAAATTCACAAAAAAAAGAAGACTGACTAGTCAACAGTTAAGTTAGGTAATTATATCCATGCAACCATTGAGGTGTCATCATCTAAAAAAAAAAAGATTTATTTTTTTGGAAAGCCAGATTTACAAAAAAGAAGAGACAAAGATCTCCCATCTACTGGTTTACTCTCCAAAGGGCTGCAATGGCCAGAGCTGAGCCTATCTGAAGCCAGGAGCTTCCTTCACGTCTCCCACATGGGTACATGGTCCCAAGGCTTTGGATCATGCTCCACTACCTTCCCAGGCCACAAGCAGCGAGCTGGATGGGAAGTGAAGCAGCTGGGACATGAACCAGTAACCATATGAGATCCTTGTGCTTGTAAGGGAAGGATTATCCAATTGAGCCATTGTGCTGGGCCTGTGACCTTGTTTTTAAAAAGATTTATTTTTATTTGAAAATCAAAGTTATAGAGGAGACATAGAAAGATCTTCCATCTGCTGATTCATTGCCTAAATGGCTGCAATGGTCAGAGCTGAGCCAATCTAAAGCCAGGAGAAAGGATTTTCCTTGGGGTCTCCCATATGGATGCAGGAGCCCAACAACCTGAGCCATCCTGTGCTGCTTTCCCAGACCATAAGCAGGGAGCTGGATGAAAAGTGGAGCAGTCAGCATTTGAACCAGTACTCAAATAGGATGCTGCTGCCACAGGTGGAGACTTAGCTTACCATGCCACTGTGAGGTCCCTAAAATGTAACCGTTAAAAAGCACAAAAATCATTCTTAGAACAGCTACTTTGCAGGCCAGTACAGGTGGCAGCCCAGATATGGCCTGAGGCATCTAGTTTTCCAGATTCTTCTGTAATGAGACTCCTAAAATGCATACCCATAAAATAAACTTTTGTTATTACACATATTACTTCTAAATAAATGATAAATCAATGTTTGCTAAAACACCTCTCAGGTATATTAAAGTTTCATACTTATGAAGTCATCATTTTATTAAGCTTCAGAACTTAAGAGTCACAGGACCCCAAATCTGTTCCTTGGTTTGTCACCGTTACTCAAGACCAGACCTGGAAATCAGATATCTGATGAGCTCTGTCTCACCTGAGTGTCGAAGTGCCGAAAAGCCTTGCTCATCCTCCCACTCCCAGGTTGGCTCACTCTTATTGTGTGTGGGGTAGAAGTCAGGCATTTCATGATACCAGTCGATGTCTGTGCTGCTAATAAAGAAAACAAGGAAGCAGGTATTAAGGAACTTTTCATAACTGGAATAGAAATGAGTTTATTTATTTCCAGAAATCAATTGTATTTTAAACAACTATTGTGAAAAGGAATAATCCATTTTACAAAAGGAACCAGACAATCTCTAGTCTCCTGCCAGGGTAAATCACTTGAGTCTGTAACTTGACAAATGATTCTTTACAGAATCTGCCAATAGCTTTGCTGCACTAACAGCATGTGAGACTTTTGAAATCACCACTGGATCCCCAAAAGAATCTGAAATGCATAGAGAAGAGAGCAAAAACTGTGTGCATTCACCTGCTGGTACAGTCTCCTGTGAGAGGATCGCAGCTCCCTGCACAGTCACAAGGTCTGCAGCCGTAGTCTCCAAAGCCCCAGTATCCCACCATGCACCTGTCACAATGTGGTCCAGCCACCCCAGGCTTGCATGGGCAGTCCCCATTGCTGGGGTCACAGAAGGTCACTGAGCTGAAAGGAAGGACAGCAGATCCAACAGGATGGCAGGAACATACTGCAACACAGAGGACACACAGGATCCGTGAATGATTCCAAATTCCCTGCACGACGGTGAGGCCCAGCAGTCCCGAAATGGTTTCCACACAGTGTGTTTCTCAATCTGCTTCATTAGCTAGCATTCTGTGAATGAAAGTTAATTAGATTTTTAAAAAATAAGTGAGATATAATCATAAAACCATGTCTGAGGCAAAAGGACCACATCCTTTGTTCGACAATTGAAGACAGTAATTAGGAAGGCTTTGTGCTTGCTGTAACAAGGGTAAACCCGCAAAGACGGCAGAGCGATCTTGAGAAAGGGGAAAATAAAATCACAAGAGTATGATGGTCTAGAGGCCAAAACAGAGAAGATGCAAGGAAGAAGACAACATTAGCTATGTCAAGTGTGGACAATCCAAGATGACTTAGGGGAAGGGATTTCACGCTTAGGGCCCTGGAAGGCGCAGTTCAATGTGAGAACAAAGGGGAGACTCTCTGAAAAGGCTCAGGAGGAATGGGAGCCAAGGAAGCTGAGCACCAGGAGCTTTTCTCTCAGGTCACAGAGGTCAGGTGGTGGCTAACACTGGAGTCAGACATGAAGTCAAGTGATGGTTTGGGTGTGTATCCATTTGGTTTTGTTTGAAGATGGAAGGAATTGTAGCATGTATGATGTTTGAGGATAATTGATGGTATCCAGTAGAATGGGATAAATTGAACATGAAAACATAGATTGGAGAGAACTGTGGTTAGCATATAGGAGTATTTTTAAGTACGGAAAAAAAGGATGGGATCTGCTGTAGGTTGTCTGTCTTGGGGAAAGAGCCTAGTCAGTTCCTAGTAAGAGACTAGAAGACAGCATCTGTGGGCACAGGTACAGGGGAGTTAATGAATACAGTGAAGGAGCTCACGAGACTGTTCTGATTGCTTGTATTTTCTGGATGAACAGAAGCAAGGTCATTGTATGAGAGAGAAGATGAAAACCTGATTTGGACAGTGAATGAGAGTCTTAGGAAATAAAGTAGAATGTATTGTCAGATAGCATTAAGGCCACATTTTAGGTTACTAGTCATGAACTCACGGAGACTCTAAACAAAACAGTTGTTTATTTTCTCCAGTTTTATACAGCTGAGAAGGTTTGAGTATGGTGTAAGGAATGTTGAGTTTAACCTAAATGGGATTCATTCAGTTCTGCAGATTAAAATATATAATCAACCTATTTGCGCAAGTTCTTGTGATAATCCCAAATTCTTCTTAACTTCTCCTTAATCCCAGAATGGCTCATTGTTCAGTTTTATAACCTGCAGCACTTCCTCTTATCCTTTGGTAGCTAAAATAGCTGCACAAAATATTTTTATAATTTTAGAACATGTGTGCTGATTTAATCATAAATATGTGTACTTATCTGTAGGTAGGTGCTCCAACTGGTGCAATGCTATTTATTAAGGTTTACCCAATGATTACTTTTAAAAGATCCATTTATTTGAAAATCAGAGTTATAGAGAGAAAGATGAGAGAGAGAGAGAGAAAGATGTTCTAGCTATGGTTCACTCCCTAGATGGTCGCAATAGTTAGGGCTGGACCAGGATAAAGCTAGGAGGCAGGAGCTTCTTCCAGGTCTCCCACATGGTTGGCAGGGGCCTAAATATTAGACCATCTGGAGCCATCTTCCACTGATTTTCCCAGGCCATTAACAGGGAAGTGGAGTAGTGGGGGCACAAAACTGGTGCCCACATGGGATGTGGCATTGCACAACATGGCCCTTCTAGATTATTTTTTATTATAGAGATTATTTATTTCTTTATTTGTATTTAAAATGCACATATACAGACATAGATACTTCATCCACTGATTCACTCCCCACATGCTGGTAATGGCCAGTGCTGGGCTAGGCCCAGGCTACTAACTAGAAGTTGGTCTGGCTCTCCCAGGGGGAGTCAGGGAACCAAGTACTGAAGTCATCACCTTCCCATGGTGCACATTAGTAGAAAGCTGGAATTGGAAGTGAAGGCAGGACTCAAACATGGGTGCTCTGTTACAGGATATGGATGTGTAAAGTTTGTAAGAGTTCCTTATAAGTTATATCTATGCAACCCTTTCTTCTTCCCACCTCCCCCGCCTCCTGCCCCATAGACTAACAATATGCAATGTTGCTTTTTCTGGGGAAGATATGAAGTATCTTCTTAGGAAGAATCTCATATTCATTCATCCACTCAGCCAGCAAATGCTAGTTAATGATGATAATTGTAATGCTAGGGAAATATTTAAGGTCTTTCATACTATGCTGCTAGCCTACTTTTCCAGCCCTTTCATTGCTTGCTTACGTATGTCTCTATTCCAATTAATGGAACAATTCTAGATATACTTCAATCTTTTACAACTTCCCATCTTTATTAATTTCTCATATCTTTCTTGCAAAATGTATGTATCCTTCAAGAGCTACTCAAATGTCACCTCTGGCATAGGCAATTAGTGAAGCAGCTAAGACCCTCTTGGGCTGCTTGCATTTCTTGTGGCAGTGCCTGGGTTCAAACCTCATCTCTGCTCATGATTCCAGCTTCCTGCTAATACACTGCCTGGAAGGCAGGAGATGATGGCTGCAGAAGCTGGGTCTCTGTGACTCACCTTGGCTCATGGCTTTGACCTGGCCCAGCCATTTAAGGAGTGAACCAGTGGATGGGAGATCTCATTCTGTCTATCTCTTTGACAGTTCTCTCTCCTTGTCTCTGCCTTTCCAAAACAAAGCTATCCCTAAGGTTTACTGCAGTGTGGTGTGATTATAGTGCTGAAGGTAGGGGTGCCGCTGCCTCTTTCTTATTAAAAACAAATATAATAATGATCAGAAAAATGGGGTGTGGCACCCTTTCCCTTGCTACTCCTCCAGGCTTAGGGCAGTTGTTTCAGTTGCTCAATTGGAAGACAGGTTTGCCTTCTTTTGGCAGTCATTCCTTACTTCAATGAGAATATGATCCAGCCTTTCATTGCAACCCTTTAGTGCTTTAATTTTCTTCCCTTTTTGCTCTGATCACATTCTACTCTGCACTGCAGGCAAAAGTGTGTTTTCCTTTCTTTTATCGGATCAGTCTGTTAGTTCCTTAAAGGTGAGTGTAAGCTGCATTTAACAGTCCTCTGAAGGGCTTAGGTTTTACTTTTCTTTTGTTGCTCTTTAATGGATTTGCTTTTGGTTTATTTGTCAGGTAGAATTGGAAATACAGAGAAAGGTAGACAAGTAGAGAGAGAGAAAGACTGAGAGAGAGTTCTTTCACTCACTGGTTCACTCTCTAGGCAACTGCAAATGTTGGCTGAAGGCAAGAGCCGGGAGCTTCATCTACATCTCTCATGTAGGCTCAGGGACCCAAGTACTTAGGTTACCTACTTCTGCTTTTCCAGGCCATTAGCAGGGAGCTGGATCAGAAGTGGGACAGCTGGGATCAAATCAGGGCTCATTTGGGATGCCAGAGTTACAGGCAGTGCTTAATGTGCTGCTCCCCAACATTGGTCCTCAGTTGAATTTTTTTTTTTAAGATTAATTCATTTGCTAGTTTGAAAGAGAGTGACAGAAAAAGGAGAGACAGAAAGAGAAGGACAAAGAGTTCTATCCACTGGTTCACTCTCCAAATGGTACCACAACCAGGTTTGGGCCAGGTTGAATTTAAGAACTAGGAACTCCATTGGGCATTGTGTACGAGTGGGCTAGGACCCAAGTACTTGGGCCACCATCACCGTTTTTGTAGGCATACTAGCAGGAAGCTGGATCAGACGCATAGCAGCCAGCAACTGAATCAAGTGGTGACTGAACCAGCTGCACAACACAGACCCCAGCTGTTACTTTTGGAGCCCTCTATTTCCATTCTACTGGATTGTACTGAGGATTAAATGAGAGAGAAGTGCATCTCTAGAACTTACTAAGCATTTAGCAAGTCACAAATTGCAGCTTCTCCAAAAAATAATTGTCAGATGGAATTAAAAGGCAGTAATGAAAACTCCTGTTGCAAAGGGCAATAGAGGAAAACATGAGGTGGTGTTTGAAAGGCTAACAGTGAGTTGGTTTCAGGCAGCATTTAGTTACTTGCTTACTCAAAACACTAAGCACCTGCTCTGTGCCAAATCCTGAACTAGTAGCAATCTTGGCCCTTGAAGACATATAGTTTAGAAGATGATACCAAGATCTTTATAAAAATTATCTAACATCAAGAGAGTAGCAAAAACTGCCTGAAAAACATCAAGTTTCTCAGGAGAGCAGTTTTAGTTAAGTTCCTGCAGTTACAGTCATCATTTCTACATGAAATTTCATGAGTTATTTTTGTTCATGGGGTTTCATTATGAGAATACTCAGGTATTTCCAAGTATGAAAACACTACTGACTTATCATTTATTTCTAATTAAGAATGATTTGGGGGGTTATACGTAACATGAATATATCAAAACACTTGGTTCAAACAGCATGGGAGGACTTTAAGTGAAGTCATGTAATCCAGAATAAAAATTTCATCATATTGAGATGAATAAACTAATAATTTCACCTCAGTAGAGCCAGTTTGGTTTTTTAACAGGAGATAGAGGAGATAAATCCAGAAGATAAACAGTAGATGACGCCCATTAGTAGCAAGGTAACATAATCTACTGCCATTAACCTTTCCTGTAATAGAAAATTCTAGCATTTCTAGGAATTGATCTTTCCATTCCACCATATATTTAAAAACCTACATGCATTTCAGGGAAGAATGTCATTCTATCACATGTGTCAGTGGATTTTTGTCAGTGTGACCTTTTACATAATTAGAAGACAAAAATATCATTTGGAAACTATGCAGTTCTAACTCCAGGCAGAAGGCCTTGACACCTTGCGTGGAAAACTTTTCAAGACTACACACTGAGGCTTGCCTTGCACAACCATCTTGTAAAATTTGATATCAGTATCAGACATACATGATCTGTATTTCCAATTTTATTCCAAAATGTGATATGATTTTGTTTTTTTCTTGCTTAGAAGGAAATACAAAGATATCTTTTGCTTCTGGT